AGACTGTTCCATTCTTGCTGCAACATCTTCCACAATCTCAGGAGTTCTTTTTTTGGGCGCTCCGCTACCGGTTTTTCGTCCAACAGTCCCAACAAAACGAAATTTTGCGACACATAAATAAATTTGATGGACCAATTTTTGATAATCCATAGGAAAATTGGGGAAAGCATTTTGAAAATCATTAAGGCAATGATCTACAGAATACATCCATTCACCATTCTGTTGCCGTTCGGCGTGTTTCAAATAACTCTCAGTAAGAAAAATTTTATGCTCTAATTGAAACATTTTGAAATGCCACTTTGACAATTCAAATTTCAAATCAAAGTGTCAACATTAGTAGTGCCAACCTGATTCAAAATCCACAGCTTGCTCTAATTTATTATTTAAATGATCGCACGGTACTTATATCTTAGCTTACTTGAAAATTTTCTCTGGGGCGCGAGTTCAGGCGCACCCTGTATATCTAGTGCTTTTTCTAGATGAAATAGTAGAAATTTCTGACTCAAAATTTGTCAGTAGGTTCAATTATAACACAGATGCTTCTTTTACACAGAAATTAAACGTTTAAGAGAATCAGATGCAAAGTTGTCAGTGTGGCGAAGAAATGGCTCCAGGTGTTACCTATACACATTTATGATTTATGGCTGTCTATAATGTTTTTTAAGTTAATGGTGAAAATTATAAGTTTTTAATACCAAAATAGAAAATTACTTTTGGCTTTTGGTCTGAAGTTGCCTTTGTTAGAAAAAATTATAATTATATAAAATATAGGAAGAAATTTTTTTCTTCCCTTGAGTTCATTATATTCCTTGTTTTTGGCTCGTAAAACAAATAGCACTCTTTGGGAGAAAAATAACTTTTTCGTTTGTAACACAAATAACAATCTTTTAATTTTAAATTTAAATATGTAGCTAGAAATCTTGTGTCTGCTTATCATTAAGTCATAAAAGGATATTACAAATCAGAAACCACAATAATTTTTATAATTTTGCAATGTTTATAGTTTGGTTAATTTATTAATTTCAAATATTAAAACAATGGAATTGTTGTTGCAAAATGCAAAATGCAAATAGCATGTATAAAATGTTTCTGCATCAAATCAGCTATGGAATGTTATGCTATTTAATGTCGTAATAAATCACACAATGTAAACTGAAAAGTGAAAAAGAAAAAACCTCATTACATTTGAAAGCAAGAAGTTTGAGGAATAAGCTTCATTGTTACATTGTTAATCATAGATAGATTTGACAGTTTTGTAGTTTTTGCAGAATAATATTTTACGTTATTATAAGTCCAATAATTCAAATATTACAGTACGCATGAGATGTGATAGAATATTCAATTTTAAGACAAAAGTTTCCTATGAACATGTATCAAAAAATGTTATGTAAGCGAGCTACATTCCCTGAAAAAAAATACGTTTTATAATGGGCTTTTCTCACTATTGCAGAATAGATAAAATTACATAAGTTGGTAAAGCTGATAACCTTTAAACACATGAACAAATTCAAAGATCAGTTAAACGGTAAAACGAATTTAATTTTGGCAAATGGCAAATTTTTGTACATTTTTTTTTAATAATTATTAAATATAAAGTAGACACCTAGTTATAATCTTTAGATCATAGCCTTCATGAGTAAAATGGTTTTGTAGTGGGCAGCGATTTAAAAAAATTAAAAAATCTGTATAACCCAAAAACAAAAGAAAATTTTGAAAAATTTTATTCTTGATAAAACATCACATTTTTATAGTAAGTACTTTACTATTTATTTGTATTCTTTATTTGTATTTATTAATTTTACAACATGTGTTTTAACTGTTTAAAGCCAGTTGTTTTAGGTTTTATTTGTGACTTATTTGAAGTAAGGTGATAGCAAGGCTAAAATTCGTGTGTTCCGATATCTTAATAACCGAAATGGATTGTTAATTGTATGTCACAATCAAGAAGACGTTTATATGCAAATGTGCGAAACACTTGAAACAAATTAGAGTCACGTCCAAAAACAAAAGACTACCGGAAACGTTCACAATACAAGTGTCAGTGTGTGTCACGGCTGTTGGTGATGGGAAATAATACTCCAAGGGGGCGCTTCTCGTAGAACTTGTTCGCAAAATGGAGGGGCAACGCTTATGTTCCACTCTGCTACCTCTGCTGAAAAGCTTTTATAATTCATGAATTTCAGTCGAGCTTTCAGTGATTATTATTACATTACCCAACTTCAGACCATTACATGCAGTTTCCCTGTTTGAATTTATTCCGTAACTATTGTTGTTGCATAAGTTTCACGTTATCTTCTTTGTGCGGCTTGCCAACCACTTCGAGCTTTTTCAAAGGAGCGTTTCTTATTTTTCGAATTATAATAAGCGTAAGGAGAGATAAGTGGGTAACAATGGCCCGAACAAACGAGTACCTTTGTCGAGTACGGAATTAGCATTTTATCTAATATGCAATAAATAGCTTCGGAGGCGTCGCGACGCGTCCCCGCTGTGATTTACTGACGCGCCGTAAATGGAACCAGTTTAGCATGACGGACACAACGGGGGCAATGGGCCGAAGGGATTAATCAGGAAGTAGGGACTCCACAGCCGTGCCAACGGCTTTGCTTTTAAAGCAAAAAGAAAACGGACACATACAAAAATCCAAAGATATTTCTGCTCATGTTGGATTTTTGCAAAGACGAATCTGTGTAATATGAAATATTGTTGAAACCAACTGACCGTAAAGCGCCGGCACCAGACGGAAAGCCATCGGATATCTCTAATTCTTTTACCCATCGGCAGCCTTAGGATTATGTTCGTGTTGTTGTAAGCTCGTAATACCGGAGGCTCCCTGAAACAAAGAAGCGAGACATGAGATAAACACTAAATCGGAGATGAAAGGATCTCACACAAAAACCAAAAACAACTTATTGCCTGAACCAACATTTTTCGAGCAAGTCTTCCTTTTTATTAATAAAATTTAACTCACTTAAGGCGAACATTCAAACTGGTAAATTCTAAATTATTCGTATTCTTTTACAGAAGATTTTTTATTTTAACTCAATTTATTTAAAAAAAAGTAAAGCAAAACGGCCAAGGTTGACAAAGTTTATAATAATAATAGTAATAATGATAATAATAATAATAATAA